ACATGATCACTCACTGACCTGAATATTGCACCCACTAAATTTGAGAAGAGTTTATATATGTATAAAAGGTGTCCTTTTTTAAAAAATAAAATAAAAAGAACAAACAATAAAAGTTGTTACTTTTTACTTTGTCACCGAAAGCGTCGCTGTAGAGCCCCGATTTCTTTTATTGAACTTAAAATCTGTCCGGAACGCTTTCCCCCCCATTTGTAGGCCCCAAAGAGGCCCCCGAGGGATCGTGGGTCCGTTATTTTATATGTGAGCGTGTGTGACTGAACAACAGTGCGTATTTGTGTGTTCGTGTTGAGTGAAAGTGAGGGAGAGATCCATCAAGAAGTTTCGCCCTTAGCTCACCCTGTATTGACGGCTGAAAAGAAAAGTTGTTTTATAAAAAAATGCTTTCCCCCTTTTGGTCTCTGAGGCGCCTCAGCCGTGTTTTATGAGGTTGGCCGTTGGCGTGGATTCTCACTGATTCTGATTCTGATGAACCTTCCATGTTTTACCTTTTGTATTCAAAACTGGAAACAGTAAAGTGTAAACACACTCCACACTCCACAGTCATCATTCACATAGATGCTTTCTATTTTTCCAATTGAGTATTATTTGTTAAAAAAACCTACCCACCCACAGACCAAAGCCTGGCCTGAGGCATCAGCTAAATACGTCCGCTGGCAACCACAGTCCGGAGGGCACAGACTATAGAGCCACAGGGCACAGGCCAGTGTGGGGACTGAGGACCCAGGGAATTATTTATTTTTACTTTCAAAAAGGCAATATCTTTTTAAAAAAACAAATACAATTGACATAGGTATAACATGTCGCTGATTCCTGCAACATCACATTATCAGTCCACACAGGATGGCATAGCATGTAAATAATAGACTAATAGGCCATTAAGGCGTGTAACGTTTATGTAAATATATAGTATGAATGTAATATTATGGCGGGGGTTTCACTTTTCTTCTAGAGAAATCAAATAGAAGGCTAGGGATTGTTTTTTACAGACTTGTTGTCTGTCTGAAGACTGATAACTTATTTATAATAGTAGACTATGCCTTGGTGTTTAAAAAACAACAACTGGTTGTTTGATATAGTGCGAAACCAGTTCCCATCGAAACCAGTTTCCACCCCGCAAAAAGAATTAAATGTATTTTACAGTACTTGTACATAGCCTTTTGAATTATACCTTGTATTGGAATTTGAACCATTGTGTTGGTTTGTTTGTTTTTCTGAGCTGGTAAACGACACGTCTTTTGGTTTTGACGACACGTCGCGACCGTCTTATCGCACTACATTCAGACATTCCCCGGGACAGTCCAATTTTTGTCAATAAGTGGACTGTATCAGAAAACCAAAAATATAAATTATGTAGTTTGGAATGAGAAGGTGATTTGAACCTACACTCATTCAGAATGGACTAGAATAGACCCACCAAAAAAATATTATGTCACGACCGTCTTGTCGAACTATTTATATATTCAGACGACATGTCGCGACTTCATCTATGATACCAGCTCAGTTGCTTTTTGAGGGGTTTTAACCCTATTTATTTATTTTATATTTGTGTTTTGTAGAAACAATAAAAAAACACAAGTCCACAAGTCCACAACCTCCCGGCTTCACCCACAAAAGTATAGACTACGGAGTACGATGGAGTAAATCGGTTTAAAAGACTATCGTCTAAACTGCGGTAAGTAAATATTTAGCATTTACACTTTTTCAGCAACAAAAATATGCGTTTGGTGTTTGCCTGTTTGGCCTCTTGAGTCTTGAATTCTTGATGTATAATTCTATTTATTTTTTAAATAAAATCAAAAGCCTGCCAGCCAGCCACCGGACACCAGTCACCTGCGGCTGCAGCCTGCATTCCCCTGCAGGGGGTGCCTCAGTGACTTGCCACCCCCTGGCCGAAGGCCGAAGGCCCGGTCGGCTCGCGGTGTATTTATTTATTTATTAAAAATTAATATTTATGACTGTAAATAGAGGGGGGGGTAACAAAACCCCATTTCGAGTTTTGTTTTGTTTGTATGTTCAAAAGCCTCTCGATCGAATACACAAAACACCGGACGAGAAACATAAAACGCTATTCATTTCCTTAATAGTCTCAAAACCACGACAAACACAGTACATGATGCTAAAAAATACAGACCTCGTTTATGGCGAAGGACATCAATGCAGTGTAGGAGATACCGCCACAGGCCTTAAAGATATACAAATAAGCGCATGCGAGAGTAGATTTCCAACGCCTACTCAGAAAAAACATAAGGAATGCGCAACAGAATGGCCCTCCATATGTACATTGAAAGACTTGAGTATTCTCGTTCCACTTAAGCAGCGTCAAAAGCTTACCTTTGGTCAAAAGGTGAAGAATTGTGTTGTGAGGCATACGAGAAGCCAATCGCACACGTGGCAGACGTGTACCTCCAGTGTTCCCATAATATCTGAAGGGAAAATAGCGGAAAGCTTAGATCGACTTCCACCTCTTTCCTCAATATTGAAATACACAACACCTGAGCTAAAAAAATATGTGACATTCTCGACTCTAATCACATATTCGAATACATACTCACGCCGTGAATACGACCGAAGAGCCCCACAATGCTCTGCAACTTCTTCTAAACGGAAGGACGACAGTAAAGATGAATTAATGGCTGCTAAGTTGAATGCGCTGCTGTGGTCCTGAGATACAGCGTGTAACCTATCCTGAGATACAGCGTGGAACCTAATACCAAGTACCGAAAGTGTTATTTCAGTATGTGCACGGATGGAGCCACGTTCCTGCTAGCGAATGAGACGATATTAGCAAAACTTTTCTGAATTACATTGTACTATAAGATCGCGGACTGAGTTTAACTGGCCTTCCATGGCCGTGTGTGACGGACAACACCAAAAGATACATCGAAGCGATGGACAATATCAAATGTAATATTCTTAGTTGATTGCATTTAGTATGGCACGAACTTACGAGGTTACAAGGTGTGCTGTCGTGTAACTACACGAACGCGCGAGATTACGTGAGGAGAAACAAGAGGAATTCAGCTGGATGTATGCCACTAAACAAACAAATACTGTCGAAGCGAATAGTGTAACAAACAAGACACGAAACTGCCGTTCACAAGACATTTGCGAAAGAAAATGGGCACTATTGAAAGATAATGACCGAAATGTAACCCTCTAAAGAAGAAATAAATAATATACCGGATCGGACTATTGACGCTCACATAATTTGACATTATATAAAATCTATTTCAGTTCAATGAAAAGAATTTATAAATACGTCTGACAATTTTAAAGTATCAAACGGACACAACAAGGGTCTATCTTAAAATACTTATATAATATAGTCTTGAGTTTAAAATCGATGTATGTGTAAATTTCTGATCGTTACGTGATATTGATCTTCGTGATAGTCGACGTGCTAGAGCTCATAATTAAACAATAACATTCAACGAAGCATGGTAATTAGCGATACCAGCGATTGAAACGATATTTGCAACCGAATAGAAATTTGCCCAGTGCTCGCTTATTCTTTTGATTCATCTCCACTATTTTATATAATACATTCAAGGTTCATGCCCATTCGTTCTTCCTGCAGTTTATTTGGAAATTAAAGTGTATTACCGAGTGATCCCCTCTCGTTTAAACTGTTTCGCAGCTCACCAGTTCCAATGTGGAGCTCAGAGTTTGTACCTCTCCTAACTGTGCGCAAAGTTCTTATGGCTCGCATTCCGCCAAAAGTTCCTGAGTGTAGTAATAATCTGTTTACGAAAGGTATATCATAGCGAGCCCTGATTTCATTGGTGACCTTTCTTCGAAGCTCGAGTTACGAGCGAACGACAGCCGATATAGGTTCTCCACATTTGGGACTACCACGTGATACATATTGCTAATAGATATGATGTGGACGCAAGACTAACAATCGAAACACACGATTTTAGAAGAAGAAGCGCGCATACAGAAAAGCTTTTTGTTTGCGAATCGGATCAGGTATATGTTTGACTTTGCAGCCAGCAATCCACAGCTAATACACTTTGAACTTCCGTACATAATGCACACACCAGTATATGCATATTCCATAATCATTCCGACAAAAACTGCCTGTTTGGGACGTAGGTGGTACTGTAATAGCTGCAATACACGATACTAATAAAGCTGAACGCCGATCTATATTGGCGGAGAGGTGCGCAAATATACCTTAAGCCTACGAGACATGATAAAGCTCCCGCTTTGACCCTTGCCGAGTCGTATTGTAGTCCATCGCGACAATTTCTGCTATATAATCATATACGGAAAATAAAGCTCATAAGAACGTCAAATTTATAACCAAAATTATGAAATGGACATTTACGGACAAAACATATTTAACTCGAAACCAGGTATAAATACTATATACTTATCACCGCCAACCGTCTTAACGAAAATATCGGGATGATTTATTAGATGCCTCTGGTGCATGGGAGTTTATATCAATACATACGCTACACTCGTGGCAAAGCGTACTTCCACAGTACATACTGCTTGTATCGATATAAATACGATCACTAAATATCAATTTGAGCCTGTAAATTATTATATTTATTTATGTATTTACAATTATGTATTTTTATGAATGTGTATATATTTTTAGAGTAAAGGTATGATTTTGTATTGAAAATCGATACATTTAGCCACAAAGTAAACGTTAAACGTGAACGCAAAAATGAATGAAAGCGATCACGAAGCAAATTCATACCACCATGAGTCCATGAGTAATTGGAGAAATACCTCCAGTTGAAATGCCGAGGTCGGAACGCAAAAAAAAAAACACGATTGATTTGAATTCGTTTTAACGAAAAACGAACTGGTTTGTGTCTGCGCTTGCGTACGAATTGAAAAATGATCTATTGCCAAGGCAATCCAACAACGTGCAAGGGAATGAAGAGAAGACTAATAAACACTGTCAGCACTGAAACAAAACATACTTGTGTCTGCGAAGACCCGGCTCTGCGATTATGTCTCAGCCCAGCGAGTATGAAGATGTAATATATGGCAAAGTGGCTTGCAAGGTGACCATCGATCAGTCCAAACTGGTGGTCACTCCGTCGGCCGGAAAATCTAAGAACGGCGCACAGGAATACGTTTGGGATGAGGTAGGAATTTGTAACAGTATCATATTACATTAAGCGCCGCAAAATCGCACCTGGAAACCAACAACCACAAATGACGCTTCCATTCAGTATATGTCTACTTGAATGAATATGAATACTTGAACGAATATATATATATATATATATATATATATATATATATATATATATATATATATATATATATATATATATATATATATATATATATATATATATATATNTAGTGTAGTTGTAGTAGTACGTATATAATATATATATATATATA